TAAATATGACTAGAATAATAACATGACATTTATTTGTGTTTAAACACAGTGATAACATCGACAATGTTCTTTGACAAATTATGGGACTCTTTAACGATAGTAATATAATACATTTATTTAAATGAATAGCCCGGTTTACTTGTAAATGATTATATTTAATGTCATACTACGTAGAGTTATACCAGTATATGAAATATATACTGTGATTTTAAATTCATTATGCTTTCATATTTTTGAATATAAATTGTATAATATTGTTTATACATAATATAATACAATCATTTTCAAACTGTATTTTCATTTATTAATTTTTTAAGTATAATAATTAAACAATTATTTGTATACCTTATAAAATTGTATAAACTAAATTTTTATTTTAAAAAGAAAACTTAATGCTACCCAATTTTTAAGCTTGCGCGACCCATTTTTGGGTCACGACCCACTGGTTGAGACCACTGATATAGTGGTAACTCGAATGGGGTATAATTAGGGTTGCCACCTCTCCGGGTTTCACCCAGACTCTCCGGTTTCACACACAAATCTACAAGCTACAGATTCAGTGAATTATTCTCCGGGTCGTCGTAAAATTAGTACTATTCATATAATTGTGTATAGTTTGTCAATAAGTAACGAGAACAATATTTTTCATTGGCCAAAATATAATTGACTATTGTTATGCATTAAATGTATGTATATGCGTATTGGCAAGTCACAGTATCTTTTGCTGATGATCTTTTATTTTTTTTTTTTGCTTATCAGCCTGTCTCCGGGTCTACCATCTTTCAAATGTGGCAACCCTAGGTATAATATTTGAATCACGTGATTCACAAAAAAAAACGCATAAATAGGTCGTGGATACCTGGTTGTTCAGAAATATAATAAAAATTATTATGTTTTTACAAAATAAAAGCCATTAAAAGAATTTTTGATAAATTTGACGAATTTGATTAAACATTAACAAATTTCAATTCATTTTTAGTAGGGGAAGGGTATTTTTGTGTTGGGTTGAGTGGGTGGGTGGAAAATTAAATCGATGATTTAACGTTAAAATACTTCTAGCCACCACCACATATTATACGTGTTATAAAACTATTATATTTATTATTGGCTAATGACTATTATAGTTTATTGTTTAAAATAGAATTAGAAACCAAGAATTTTGTAAGGCCACAGAGTGGGATTTCTTAATTTGTTTTTATAGGCTTTTTCAGGTTCAAATGTAGGTACAAACACGCGTCCATCAAATCTCAGCAGTTACCCATCACTTTATTTTTTTGTATAATAATAATAATAGTAATAAAATCGCACGTCAGTATAAATCTTTAAATTTAAAATTATTGTATAGATATTGTACATAATTTATTATAACGCTGGCAGTTGGCGAGCCAATAGTTGAGACGATCCATTGAATTAATGATTCGTTAAATTTAAATTATATCTAATATATGCCGCGCGTTATAATAGTAATAATAATAATAATAATATATACGAGCGATTAAATTCAACGGTGATTTCATTTCCGTTAACAATAATACGCGATTATCATTCAATTTATATAAATATATAAACCGGGCTTGCGTAATAGCGAGTTTCATTCATCCGGTGCGTATGTGTTGCGTGCGAAATTTAACACGCCGACGCGCGACGGTCGTAATAATAGTATTATAATGACACGAGATCTTTCTCGACGGCTCGGCCAGTTGCAATTGTCATTAGTAATAATATAACGTTATCAACGCTGTGTATTCATATTTATAATATACGTATATAGTGTAAATACTAATTTAAAAAAAAAAAATAAATAAAAAAAATTCGGGGGAAAAAAAATTAACCAGCAGATGTGTTCTACGTTATTATTACAATTACATATATTGTTGTGTGCCATTTTATTAATATTATCAACGCGAATGACGTATGAACATCAATATTATTGACGAAAAAAATCATAATTATATAATGTAACGTATATGATTGATATATTGTGTAGTATAATATAATATAACATACATATATATATATATATAAATAATATAATACGTCATTATCATTATAACGTATTCTATTAAAATCCGATAGTAACATTTATAACGCCCAAGTAATAATATTAAAATATAAATATCCTTGCAACAAATATCCTTTATCAGTATGCATAATTACAGTTAGATAAACCTACTTAACCCGACAGAAATGTCCTCGGGTTAATTCCGCGGAAGCCATGACTAGAATAATGTTATTATGTAAATATATATAAATATAGAATATAATTCGAACGATAAGCGTAACTATTATAACGTTCTGTAAAAGTAGGAATATTTCATTGGTGAGCCAATTACATTACTGTAATATTTAAGCGTTTCTTTCGTCATCGCCGGATCGTATTTTTTTCTGCCTATTTTGTTTTTCATTATGTATAAATTCAGAAAGTATTTTTTAATTAATTACGTATAATACGACTTTATACACGCACCTATTATTATTATTTTTTTGTTTTATCTGTTTTATTCTATGATGATACGCGTATAGAATAATTACGGGTGAGAGCTGATATGGATAACAAAAACCGTATTTAATAATTATACGTTTGACGGCACGCCGGATTCGTATCATAATAATATTTTGCGAAAATTACTCAACTACACCTATGCACAAAATAGTTTAGCCTTGGCAAACGGAAAAATAAGAACCGTAACTCATACTTATATGTTTATTATTATAAACATTATCTAATTTAACTACATATTATATTAAAATTTAATATAAAATAATAATAATTATATTTATGTTATTCTGCTTATAATAGTTAATAATATTTAAACGTAATAACAATTATATATAGGCAATTTTTCACTGACGTAATAATTGCATAGGTACTTAACCTAATATAAATTCGAAATCTCACGGTTCTATGATAACTAAATTTTAGAATTTGAAATTAATTATTTTGATGCTTCATTATATTTCACTGCTATTAAGTTTAGACAGTGATTTTCCTTATAACTTGGCTGCTATATATTACACATTTCAAAATTAAATTACCAAATAAATAGTAAATTACTCATAGTTGTTATAATTTTAGGACAATGGAAGCGGAATATAAATATAACCCCAACCCCCTTCTTGCGCACGCCACTGAGTTTAGATTATTGTAATAATACTGACCCATCTTGAACTTTGTACTATTTTAACAATTTAAAACATGGGATAGGTACCTAGTACTTATCTATATATTGTACAATGTTGTTTTAAAATAAATATTTTACAGAAAAAAAAACCAGAGAAAAAATATTAATCATACAGATATCTTATTTTTCATATAAAACTATACTAAACAACTAAAATCTATGATTTAGAAATGAAATACCTTGGTGTTCATCATTTAAAAGTTTAAACTTACATTTGATTTCATGATTTTGATTTTTGATTTTTTTTATACATTAACAACGTCCACCTTCTTGTCGTTAATATTTAACAAAAAAAAATATATTACATAAAATCCACGTACTATTCTTGTTATTAAAAATTCCTTTCGAAATAATTTTACAATAGTCGGGTGTCGTGTATATGAAACTCTATAAACATATGTGACACGCCGGCCGTTTGTTGTGCTCATTTAAGGCGTGAACAGACGAGTGAACAAAAGTGACAGACCAGAGACCAGATGTTCATCACCCGGGTTTCAAAAGTTCATACGCTGTTCATCAAAAGTTCATCTTTGTTGCCTTTATAAATTATGAAAATTATTAGAGAGGAATTCTCAAACATAATTTTACCATTTCATACTCACGAGTAGAAATATGAATATTTTCATTTTACATAACGTACATTAAACAACAACATATTTTATCTTATATTTAGGTAATGTAATTTAACTCATAATTTTGTTAATATATTTAGATTTAAAGCTAATTCTAAATTAATTCTAACTAATTATAATTTTAAATCTATATTTGATAATATTTTTGATTAGTATGTTATCATTTTTTATAGATTCTTAATTTATTTCATATTTCATATTTTCTAGATGCATCATGGGTGCAGGACAAAATTCCTTTATTTGTTTTAAGAATAATAAACCTGTAGATTTTATAAAAGAAATGGTATTAACATCCAATTCATCGTGTAAAATAATATGAATCATACAAATGAACTGATACACTAAAGTTCAGGATTTTTAGGATTTTAAAAAATTCATCGACATAAAACTTGAATTTCGAATTCCTTATCTATTTCGATTTCTAAATGACGTTAAATTATTAATACTATAAGTCACCAAAATATTCTTCAAAAAAAAGTTCGAATTTATTAAAACTTGTTCCAAACTGTACTTCACATCATTCTTTAAAAGATGCGGATTTTTCACCTGATGGTAATTAATTTGAACAAATTGTCAAAATCCTTATATATTTTTTAAAAAATTGCTTTACACATGAATATATTTTTTTTTCACATTTTTTTGGTTAAGAAAAGCCTTTAATTTGTTTTCATTGGAGTCATATCTTTATGAATGAATTATTTTTGTCTGGTGATACTTTATTTAAAATATTTATCGAAATATTAAATAGTACATAACCAATTTTTTTTATTTTTCTTAGCAATATTGAAAAAAAATACGACTAATACTACTCCATCCAGAATCATTTTTCGTTTTACCTTCTTAATTTCTCAAGTAACTTCCTATAACAATGACTTACTCATGTGTAGTATCAATGTTTTAATAGTATAGTTACTTAGTTTAATATTAGAAAAAAAAATTTGATGACGAATAATTATAATGGAACACTAATATTATAATTGTAAATTTCAAATATTATATTATACTGGCTAAACATTTTCCAATAAAAAATTAATAACATTTCTCGATTGTTTTAAAAAAAACTTAGTTTAACAAACATTTAAATTTAATATTTTATACAAATTGTACACACTACAAATAAAAATTAAATAGTTATTTAAATTTTTTAAAAATTTTCAATTGAAATAAGTTAAGTGTAATATTTAAAATGGCTTCTAAACAAGGTGAAGAAAAGAAACCAGCCGAGAACGCATTTGTGTAAGTGCTTGTTATAATAAGTAAAATATTATGTTTAATGCTTTTTAATACGATACAAAGTGGCATGGCAAGCATAGGTTTAAATGTGCAATAATTGTTCACGGTAAATTATGGCCAATCATTTCAAACATAAATATATGTTTATATATTAGTATTAAAATGCAGTAAAATATAGTAAAAACCACGAAAATCTACGAACCAGTGAATTAATTTTTAGTAGTGGGTACTTGATCATTTTATTTGCCTGCAAATCAAATATCACCTCATCAAGCAACTATGATATTATAATAATTATCAATTAAAATACTAACTTATTAATAATATTTCAGACCTACACCTCGACCAGGCGGTTACATAAAAATAAAATTAGATGTTAAAGAAAAGAAAAAAAAAGTACTCCAATTTGATCAATACCAAAATATTACTAGTCGAGTGGAGGATATGGAAAAACAAAAGTATAGAACAGAGAAGACCGTTGCTAAAATTCCAATACCGCCTAAGATTACACCTATTAGAAATTTAAATTTACCCAAAATTTCACAAGAATCTCTATTCGATAAATATCTAGTCGAAAATGACGAAAATGGTAAGTATGATAATTAATTAAGTATACATTCGAATCGTGTCTGAAATATTATTTTGATCGAATTGTGTCCGTGGTTTATTTTTGGCAGATCAAATTGTTTGTTTTGTCGTCTAATAATTTCAATATGATTTTTTTATTACCTTAAGATTCTGAGCAGAACGTAATATAGTTCTTTTTTTATAAGTATTTTAAATTTAAACTGATGAAAATCGGAAAAAAACATTTTATTCCAAACATGTTTAACCGAACTTTGCTCGTATTTGGTCCGATTTCTATTAAACTTGCTACCTAACTTATAAACTTGTTCACGGGACCTTCCCCTGAGTTCGGATCTTGTGTATTCATATATTTTATCGTTTACATCATTACATTTATTATTATTATTTTTATTTTAATTTTATTTTAGTTAACTTTTTCCGTAAATTCTAAAATAAATATAATACATTAATATATACAATATCATATGTATAGACAATCACGGTGAATATGAAAGATGGTTAGACGAAACTGCACCGGCGAATAATAACAATCTAATGGACAATCTAGAAGAAGCTATTAATCTGATTGTAAAGTTAGCATCCAATCCGGATGCGCCTACTAAAGATTTTGATGAAATGCAAGCTATTTCAGTTATACAATTTCTACGTACAATTAAAACACCGTCTGGTCAGTACGAGCCGAATAATTCGAGATTGATGGATTATATTGACAGTAAAGGAGTCGATTTCCATAAAAATTAAGTCTGTTTTACACAGCAAATAAATCAAACACAACCACTGATAATGCTACACAAGAGAATAATAAAGAAAAATAAAACCAAAACTATCGGTTTCTTTTGATTTTGATCAATTTTTAAATTAAATGTTTTTTAACAGTGAACGTGCAACAATTTGTATGTAATTATTTTATAGATAGGATTGAAAAAATAATCTGGAGTCGGTTAAAAAAATGGAAAATAGAAAAGTTAATGACATTAATGGATTTCGTCATTTTCGATTTTGACTTTTTATTAAACAATTTTGAAAGCATTTAAATACGATTTGTTGGTAAGTTGTAGAATTGGTTATAGAATAGACAAAAAGCTTGTATACCTACTAGGTATATAATCAATGGACAATGGTTACAGACTACAGTAAGAATAATTGATAAGTAATTTTTATGTTAAATTAATTATAGCAATAATTTATAGGTATATTGATAATGATTAACTAATTAATAATAATAGGTGATAATCTTAAGATGTACAATAATAACAAAATGTTAAATTTAGATCTTTCCTACATAATTTAACAAGAACTCACTATATCTCACTACCAAAATAATATTATATTATATAACAATCGTCAAAAAGCCCTATATTCATCTATATGCTATCGATCAAATCAAAATTTATGCTCTTTACTCGACCAAGCTAAATATCCATTATTTACAATAAGTTCAAATTTTGATGAAAACTGTAAAAACCACAATTCAAAAATTCAACAAGAATTCATAGGCGCAACTAGGGAGAACGCTAGGCGATTTTTAGCACCTCTAAAAATACACAATAACATTTTTTATATTATCCACTAAATGATTAAATATTTAATCCGTGTATTTCATAATTAATAAGCAGAACAAAATACAGATTACCTAAAGATCATGAATAGATAACTGTTAAGGCTAGTGACTGCCGTCTTTCCATGATTAGTAAAAATTAAAAGTAATTCGCTAGGAGCGAATGCAGCAAAATTTGTTAAACCTAATTCAATGAAAATTCCATATTTGTTCAGTGAAATATTAGAGGAACCGCAGTGGGGTGCTCCTAGAGAATTTCATTTGATAAGGCGACAATAAGTAAACCCTAGTTTTATACAGTTGGTATCAGGGCTGCGCAATTATGACCAATTAATCGAATATAAGTAAGTGGGCGATTTTTTATTGACTACTCGAATAATCTAATAATCGATTAATTGAATAACCAAAACATCGATTAATTGAATGATTCGATAAGCTATTGTTAATTAATAAACAGAATAATCGACAATGAACATTACAGTGATAACTGTATGATTGAGTGACAGAATAATCATATAGTCATATAATGAATTATCGAATAATTATTTTATTTCATCTTAAGAATAAAACTTACACCCAAGACAGTTATTTAGTTATTATTAAAATTATTTACCGACTTGGGTTCAATTAACTAGTGATGTAGTGATGGGAATAATCGAATAATTTTGGAAGTAAAAAAAATATAGTTACACTTACAGACATATTTGTCAAAATTAAATAAAAATTTATCGAAAATTATAAAACCACCTAAGTGATTGTCATTTAATCACATTGTTTTCAAAAACAACTACTGCCGAAAACAAAAATACTATATACCTACAGTCAAATATTAAATAATAACAGACTATATGAAGATATACTACTTGTATTCTTTTTTCGCGTTTGTATTTTTGTAATGTTTACTGTTGAAAAACAATTTTACTTGACTAATTGGTTATTATTCGATTATTTATATAACCAGTTTAAACAATGCAAATCAAAAGAATCAATTATTTTTATTTGGACTACTTATCGTTCGATTATTTTTTTTTCGATTATTCTCTTATTACTATTCAGTTATCTATTATGAATCTTACAGATGAAAAGTCTCATTTCTAAAAAAAAAAAAAAAATATTTTTATTAAGGATTTAACAAATATTAATATATAGAAGTATTAATAAGTATATTAATATAGAAGTAGAAAAATTGGATATTATTGTTCTAATAAAATTTATGAAAAAACAAAATTGAAAACAATAAAAGAAATACATCCTGGATTGGCTGGATTGTAATACAATTATATTCTATTTTTATTTAGTCTATAAGCATGTCCATCATATCTAAGTAATTTGATGATATTAAATGCGTCTGTTCTTAAATGATCCAATATTAAAACCAGAATATTTTTATTTTTGATAGAATATTTAAGACTAGTATCTTCAAGTTAAAATTATTAATCATTGAGTACAGGTATAAAAAAAATTTCTCTTCTATATTCTACCTTCTAAACTTCTCATCTAAAATAGTGGCCTGCCCATAATGCGAAATATGTTCATACTTATTTATGTTTCACTTGTATAATTTGTTTGTAGCAATAAAAAAAAATTTTTTTTTAGTTGCCTACATTTATTATATTTATAATTTTTATTAGTTTGATTATTTATAGTGCATTATTATTTATAGTAGTGACACATAAATAATAATACAATAAACTAGATTGCATTTACTTAGTACCTTGTGTACAGTGGACACAATTTTTTTCCTTAATGGTCAGTATTTATATATTTAAAAAAAACGTGTCTTCCCACGTTGCCGAATACCATTTTGCGACATCCTATTTTGCCGAATAATAAATCGGTTTTATCAGGTATTGAAAATCTTCTCATTTCGTCGACATATAAATCGGTTATATTATTCTGAATTGAAATATTATTGTTGTAATAAAATTATTATTAATAAAGACATTTCAGCAGAATGAGCTAAAATAAATAAATACATTTAATAGGTATTATCAAAAATACAAAAACTATTGACAATACCAATAGGTAATCAATGATTAGTTAGATGTTCAAAGTCATTTTTCTTATAATTTTCATAATTTAAGTTTAGTACAGTTTTGCAGTTTAGTAAAGTGAAACTAGACTTATTACACTATTACTAGTGGAATAAAACTAGTGTAATCCGTGCAAAAACGAGTTGTTTTAACATAAGCTATAGTGGGATGGAGTCATAAGTAGGTGTACTTCAAGCAACGAACGCCACAGGTAAATATTAGGAAAATAAAATGTTGTTGGCAAATGGCTTGTTGGTAAAATGCGAGTCGGTAACATAAGAATGAACCAAAAAAAGACTGACATAAATCGCACGATGGGTGGGCCATTATTGTAGGTGAGAAGTTGGGAAGGTAGGATATAGAGAGAAATTTAATGTATATCTGTACGCGTTTTTTAATATTTATTAACAAAAAACGATTCTGAGTGGAGTTCATGTTTTTAAAAGGCCGTAATACCTACGGTTTTTGTCATAATTTGACATTAAAACTCTTATAAAAAAAAATACTACATTCATCTCAACTTTTTATTGTTGACCACTGAGTACAACTTATAATGAACCCTCTGTTGAAATGTTTAAGCAATTCGGTTTAAGCAAACAATTTTATTCACAGAGTAGCTACTAAATGAAAACTACGTATAAAACTCGCAAACTAAAATGCCTCTATAAATATCTCAAAATAGCTTAAATGTTTTGAAAATTTGATCACGTTTAGAAAATGCAAATATAAGTATATGAAAATAGTATTTTGTTAAAAATGCAAAAATATGTAGGGTACCTTCTTACCGTCTTATGCGTTCCATTTGAAATACATATTAGAGGTACTTCGTTATCATTTTTGTAAAATTAGTTTGGGTATGCACTTTTAGAGTGTGAAGTCCCCGATGTTAGACTTTCACGAATGCTGTGGTCAAACTTGAATAAGGTAAAAACTGAACAAGGCAGATGCAAAAGTTTACTCTACTAATGGGGAATAGCACAATCTCCTCTGCTTATGCGGTAGGTACTATACAATCAAGCATATCACTAAAGAGTGTCCAGACACACAATTTGAAGCCGGAATAACAAAACTATACTAAGCTGGGACGGAGGCAATTAATTGGTTAACTAGTTTTGAGACACCATTTTAATGAATACTAAAGTTGCTGTTTACTGCTATCATCAACATCATTACGTTATAATAGTTATAGTTGTATCATTGATTATACGTAGTAGTATAGTACTTATGTATTAATCAATGGTTGTAGGTTGTAGTTGTTGGTTATACTCAAATGCCCATCACGTTATTTACTTAGAAAGAATCTGTCTATTAATTTGTTTAGTTTTTATTTGGTCTTATGTGAATAACATTTGTTCGGCTCAATAAAGATGGTCGAAAATTAAAGAGAGTTTGATCATAAGTTGGAATAGGTGGTAAATAGAAAATTTAGAAAACTTAGGATACCTACCTACGTATTTCATTATGAACTCTCGAATGTTCATATTTTACGGAAAATATTTAAACAAAACAAATTATCTACTTGAATAATTAAACGGAAATAATTGTGTAACTACGGACCAAGGACCAACTAAAATATAATTCATTGGATAAAAAAAACCTGTACCTACATACGTAAGTACACTTACAATTTTTTGTTTAAAATTAAGTCTATCCGAAGTTTATTACGAAGCAATTAGATTAGTACCTAGTGGTTAATACTCATCCGTAAGTATTGAACCGGCAAGTCTTACAGAGAAAATGTCTGTGAGCCACGAAAAATTCTACTTTTTTCTAACCAAGTTTATGTCGATTTGATCATTAATAATTTTAAGCCTGTGAAAATCCTGAAAGTCGGTTAGCTGATATTTTGCCCTATCCGGCGTTGTTAATACCTAAATTGTAAACAATTATTTACCTATCTACCTACAGTTTGGTCCTGTTCGGTTTTAATAATAATTTCAGGGTATAAATCGAAATTTGATAATTTACAAAATTATATAAATTACGTGTCTAACAAAATGATTACCATTAATCATGATAGGTAATTTTGTGTTTAGCTAGGGTAGCTTATATGTAGGTACACTTTATGTAATATGACATAATTTCCAAATTCAATATTTCCCACCTTGGGAAAATTTTAATTACATACGATAGATACTGTTTATATTACAATTTTATGCATTTTGTAAATTAGGAATATGTTACTAAATAAGTATGAAAATGATCAACGAAAATAATTATCACGGTAGCATGTCATTTTGGCAATTTTGCCTTTATTGATAAAACGTTTTATCTATGAGGGGTAGGCAAGAAACATTTGACCCGGTAAAACACGTATTGTGAGAAGTCTTTAGATAAAAATAAATAATAGGTAATTAACAAATAATAATTATTATAATGGTGATGCCGTCGGAATAATAATAATGTTAAATGTTTTATAGTTTCATGTAGATAGCAGTGTTCACAGAAAATAATTCTGTGGTACAGACTAAAGAAAATATTATAATTTATAAGGTGGCTGATCGACGACCGGACGACCTTATGTAATTTCATGCGATAATAATCCTTATCATGGAGATTTTTAGCTACCGAATTCAACCACTACAGTTTTCTGACAACCGGATTATCGCCTACTATAATCAGTTATCAAACAGAATGTAGTAAACAATAAAATTGTTTTTAGTGTCTTTACTTTATATTCTAAACATGTAGCTTAAAACTGCAACGCCAAAATACACTCGTTGAATAAGTATCATTAATAATGATAGGTACTATTGTCTAAAATATTGGATTATTTTTACCGTTCTAATCAATTTATTTAATCATTTTGTTTTCTTTTTTCTTTTGGTGATTTTCTTATAAGAAATTACTTTTAAATTGTGCACTCACATTAGTCAATTATACTATTTCAAGAATTCGGTATCATATAGTTTGCATAAGAAGGCTCATTATGGACTTAGCTTTAATTTCTTAATATTATTAGTATTTGTGCCTAATAGGTACAATAATGGTGTCCCAAATGCAACGAGCATTTGCTCAAAAACTTACCAGTAGCAAGTATGTAGTTAATGTTTTAATTAAATTAAATGACAATACAAATTAAATTAAATTAATTTTTTTCCTTAGTTTTACAACACCACCAAAATTGTTTGAAGACACAACTCTTAACCCTTCTCATACTGGTAATGCAAAAAACAACAAGCCAAATGCTTCTACTAAAATGGACGGTATTATTCCTACAATCGTGGAACCTGTAGACTATGAAAATTATAAACATCACAACTGTAGTGGTATAAACAGCATTGATAACGATGACCCTCTGATGGAATTTCCAGAAGGCTCAAATGATGTAGATGTATATGTTCTAGCTCGTAAAGTACGCACGCTTATTCCAGCAGGTCCCGAAGAAGATATGTATGTGTGATATCTAAGTATATTATAAATAATTATTGTTCTTAATTTTGGAACAAATTTAGTTTAAAAACTATTAAAATTATTTTGATTTTTTAAAATGTGTGTTTTTGCCTTTACAATAAATACCTATGCTCAAAAACTCCAAAAGAAGTTTATCCAAATTTTTTTTTTCTGTATGCATGCAAACACACATTAAAAGTTAATATAATTAAATTGTAGTTAAACTAGAATGAATTTCTTAATTCTAACTATTTTGTGTTTTAAAATAAAGCTCTAAATTGGCACCTCATGTACGTGACTTTGTTCGAGCTTACACTCGAGATTGGCTTGTTGTCGATTATGTATATAGACAAACAAATATTGTTGAAGAAGATAAATCTAGTCAGTTGACCTATGAAGATACTTGGATACCTTCTTCCAGAAGCAGCACTCACAGTAGGTCGTCTACCACTTCAGTATCACAACGGGCTCAACAACGTCAGATTTATAAAAATGACCATCATAATTATGTAAGTTATAATAATTATTTTTTACTATTTTAGTCGTAGATAGGTTTCTAAATAATAACTTGTTTTATTTTTTATTTTTGTAGTTACAACAGCCTAATGATTTAATGAAACCTACTATTAAAAATCCATCCTGTACGAGTTCAAATAGTGAAAATACATTAGTATCAAACAATATCAGTAGTATTTCGTCAGATCTAATAAATACCGCGAATGATCCTTTAATTGGTACTGTATTGCAGCGATTACCTATTGATACACTTGATCGATTAAATGCTACAACACGACAAGAAAATAGACAAGTTAGTCCTAACTTTTATACAATTTATATAAGAACATACTGATTTTTGTTTTGTTCTAGAGTCGTCTATTTGGATCATATTTACCTATTGTTAAAACTCGGACAAAATATAATAATTATATTGAATATCAAGCTAAACCATCTATTCCACGTGAATTTGTTTCTAACCGTCGCATTCTAGTCAAATGTCTTCAACTCGAGTAAATTTAAACAAACTAATACAAATATTTCTTTATCATTATATTAATAATAATAATTGTTTTTGTATTTAAAAAAAATTTAAGGTGCTCATTAGATACTGAAACTGAACCTATTTATGCACATATGTCGTTATATGATGTCAGGCGCAGGAAAAAAATGTCAGAAAATTTTCATTTTGATTTTAATTCATTCTCCAGTACAGCTGGAAATGAAATAGATACAAATACACGTAGCCGTACGTGTGTACTTGATATAGATGGTACCGGATCTAATTCTGGAGACGATTTGTTTTTAGTTATTAGACTAGAGAAACCATTACGAGGAGATTCTGAAACATCATCAGATTCATCAAAATTTTCTAATAGTGATATGGTGTGTGTTTGTATTAATTTATATTACATTCTATTTAAATGTATTGATTAATACAAATAATTATTTAGACTGATGTAAAATCAACTACTAAATCAGTTCAACATAATAATGTTAAGTATCGAATGCCATATGCTTGGACTGCAGTGCATATAGCAGATGTAATTTGTTCTAATAGTTCTGATAGTTTAGATCGTAATAGTGCTGGAAGTGGATCAAACAGTTTGGGTAAGTTAAATGAAATTATATGTAAATTTTTTTAATACTATTTCAAGGATTCTAGTTGTATAAAATATGAATATAATACACTAGTTTTCCAGAAAGATAATATCAATTTTTTAATATTTAATTAATATTTACTGAGAAACAAACAAATTATTTCTTCCAGTGTTAGTGGAGACCTAGGCATTTTATTATTTTGTGTAAATTGAAAATGGCATATTTTATATAGCCTTAAATTTAGCACTTTATTATAAATTACAACAACTGTGAAATTAAAATTGTATAATTAAATGTATAATTTGATTTTTTAAAATTATTTTGAAGTACCCCAATTAAGGTACAACTGGTTTAGTATTATAATAAATATATTTGTTAGTTTTAGCTTTATTTAAGTATAATTATTAATTTTTTGTGTTAAATTAATACTATTTATAGATGGTAGATTTGGGCTCAGCGAATTTGATCGGTTTCGTAAAAAATGGGCTGCAAGTGGTAGTAACATAGATTCCAACACTAATGGTCGTCGAGGATCACTGGATCGCAGATATTCTACAGTTACTTCCAGTGGTACTTTAGGTACTGTAAATACTGCTGATAACCGATACAGTTGGTCTTCTGATGAATATACTGTCGATGCATTTCGCCCAGTTACACTTACTGTTAATGGATTTTTCAAACAAGTATATAAATTATTTAGTTTATTTTAAATGCAGTACATTTTATTTATCCTTTTTTTGTAAATTTTAACTTCAGATTAGGGCCTGTCTTACAAAAGTTATAATTTATACAGATACCAGTTATAAATATCATTATGTAATATGTATTTCGTATAATTTTATTAATACCCTAGTTTGTTTTATTGGTTTATCTATAATACTTGTTTTTATTTAACTTAGAATTAATTAGTATCATTTTCATAATAATTGAAATATCTAAATTTATTTATTTCAATGGTATTTATTGCAAGTGTAAGATTACAGATTTTTATGAACAAATTACATTTTGAATATTATTTATGTAGAAAATGCAACTATTTTTTCCAAAATCTAGCTCAATTTTAATCATGTAAGTAATGTATTATTGTGTATTATTTTTTTAAATTTAATTTTGTAGGAAACAGATAAACTCAAAGATGATGATTTATATAAATTGTTACAAGAATTAAAAAAACCATCAAGTTGTCCATCAAAAAAGTTGAAAAATGTTAATGGTTCACTAAAATTAGACATATCACCTTGTCCTACTGATGATGTTAAACAATGTCTGACAGCAGATCTAATACCATTGTTATCATATGATGTATCATGTAAGATTGTTTTCATACTTCCAATCAATAAATTAAACATTAATACATTAATTACTTATGTGAATAAAATTTTAATAGCTGAGGACAAAATTCGACCAATAAGAGAAGTATTGGAATTTCCATTATCAAGCTGTCATGTTACAACTCCTCATTATGTGTACCGAAATTTGTTGTATGTTTATCCAAAAGAGTTAAATTTTGCAGGAAGAACAGGTAAATTGTAAATTATCTCTTGATCATATACTTTTATATACTTTGTTTTTAATAAATTAAAATATTATTAATACATTACTGTAATTAATATATTTGTTTTTATAAAATACATTAAAGGTTCTGCTAGAAATATAGCTGTTAAAGTTCAATTGATGTGTGGTGAAAAGCAACCTCAGGATGCGGCATGTGTTATATTTGGGAAATCGTCTAGTCCTCGATATGTTTGCGAAGCATATACAGCAGTTAGTTATCATCAACGTTGCCCATCATTTTATGATGAGATAAAAATCAAGTTACCTGCTGATATAGATGACAGACATCATTTATTATTTACATTTTATCATGTAAGCTGTCGACGTCGTGGAACTCTTGTAGGCAATCAAGAAAGTCATCAAAACCGTTCACAGATAGCACCAGAAACAGCAATAGGATATACTGTATTGATTAATTAATTAATTTTTTTTTTTAAATATTTGTATTAATTTGTTTAAATTATTTTAGTGGTTGCCTTTACTAAAAGATAGATGTTTGAGTTCTGGAGAAATATGTTTACCAGTTGCATTAGAACCACCACCACCTCCAAATTATTCTTATATTACCCCTGATGTAGCATTACCAGGAATTGAGTGGGTAGAAAATCATAAGGGATTATTTACAGTCTTTTTGGAACCAGTTTCATCTATTCATCCTAGGGTATACATTTATATTATACTAATATATACATTTTTATATTTCCAAAGTAGATTGAAATTGCTAACCTACAGTTACAATTTGCACATTTGAATGTATTTTGATTTATAGATTTTATAATTGTTTAATTTGGTTATGTTTTATATTTATAGTTATATAATTGGTTTGATTGTATCTTGCCTAGTTTAGATTCCTGAACAAACATTTGTATTAAATTAGTTTAATTTTTGCTTAGGATATTCATTTGAATAATTTTTTCAACTACTGTTCTGTTTTGGAACATAATCCTTTACCAAGGAGAGTGGCTGAATCTAATATCGAAGCTGAACTAAAACATAGGTATGTTTGCAATATTAAATTTTTTATCTTTGCATTTATAATTAGCCAAAAAGAATTACAATTAAATATGTATATCTTAATCACTATACAAATGTACACAATTTTATGAAGTAAACTGTGTTTTATTTTATTCAAGAATATTAAATTTGGTGAGATGTAAAATTGATCCACTGATTGAATTTATACCTGTGGTACTTGATAAGTTACTTTCTCTTTTGGTTGAATCGCCTGTTACTCAAAATCAACAACCTATGAATTTGGGACAGACAATATTCCGTACAATATCTGATTTAGTTTCAATGACTATGGTAAATCAAATTTATCAAACAATGAATTCATTTTTATATTGATTACTTAAATCTAAATTATTTCTTCAACAGAGTCATTCACAAGGTCAACAAATATTATCTACTTATGTACGTTATCAGTGTTGTTGCTGTAATGTAGCTGCTGCTGCAGCTGCAAACGCCAAGCATAATAATTGTGAAAATGAACAGGATGATAGTTATCATACTGAACATCAGTATTCTGAAAGGCTTGATAAATATTTTCGTTTAAGGTGATTAACTTATTCAAATAATAAATAATATTTGAATAATTTAATTTGTGTAAATACTTTTTCTATTATGTAGAAGTAACAGTGATCCAGATACAACAAAAAAACCTTGTTCTTCACCACTTTTGGATGGTAATACCTTTGCTGCTTTTAAAAACAGTGGATTAGACAGAGCATGTAGCATGAAAACTGGTATATATATTTACATATTTAACATATTAATAAATGTTTAATTTTACACTATGATGCTCAAAATAATTTAAGTTTCTATATAAGTCACTAATTAAGTGTTACATTAAATTAAGCTTGTAATTTGCAGGTCGATGTCAAGGTGTTATTCCTACATCACAATTTGAAGAAGAACAGCATCAGAAGTTTTCTTTTGATCAAAAAAGACCTAATACTATCAAAAGTGTACATGAAGAATTAGCTTTGCAGTGGGTAGTTGCAACTAGTGCAGTACGCAGAGATGCTGCAGCTAACAATTCAAGGTATAAATTAATCTTAAATTTGATTATTTTAAGCATTATAAATTATAAATTAAAATGTACTTTTTTAATTTTAGATTCTTTTTTGATGTCATAATCAAGAGTATGGCTGTTTCATTAGCAATGGTACCTGGAGGATTAGATAGTGACCGTAAAAATCGGTTTAGTGATCAATTTTTCGATGATATTTCAACATTATGTACAAGTTTTGCATTAGATATTGTATCTAATTATGAAAAAGACTCTAAGGTATACACATGAGTCAATAATTATAATTAACAAAGTGTTTTTACTTTAATGACATAATAAATGGGGTTTTTATTATTTATAATGGATATTAGTTTAATACAATACTGCAAAATATGAAATAAATAACACATTTTTGAACACCAAAAAATACATTTCAATACTATATTATATTTTATTATCAGTAGGAAAATTAACAGAAATAGTTAATTTGATATTAAATGGATACTATACATTTTTGGGTTTTTTTTTTATAATAGATTATGCCATTTATCAACACTATAGAATAGGTAGGGTATATTTGTGTTCTGTGATTGTTTTACTAATTTATAGATTATAATTTTTTGAAATAAAGGAATATTAAAAAGGTTTAATATTTAATTTAACTAAAAAAAAACAAAAATGATGATTTGTTTTTCTTATGTGTGAACTGTTTATTTATTGTAGTGTCTTAGTTAAGATAAAAGTAGAATATAAAAAAAAAGGTTGATACAGCTGATAGGTGGGCCACTATTTTAGGAGGATTATTGAAAGGTGTATATAGAGTAATTATTTTAATTTATATTAAATTTTTATTTTTTTTTTATTTTGTATACGATGAAAAAGATTCTAAGCAGAGTATTGTTAGCCATTGTTGCCATGGGAACTCAGAAATTAACAAAAAGTTATATCATAAATTGCCATTTTTTTTTTTATTTGTTAAGAAAATTACTATAAAAAATCAAAAAATGCCCCCACCCAATGCATCAATAAGAAAATTTCTATTATATTTTTTATTGGGGTCAGATATCCAATAAAAAAAGTTATTTACAAATACAAAAAAAACTTCATAGTGAAATCAATACATTTATAGCTTTGCTCAGAATCTAAATGAAAAATCGAATAACTATTTTAATATTTAGCAGGTGAATATTATCAATTGCAATTTAGCATGGTTTTTGCATGATTTGCTCTCTTTAGCTGATAGAGGATTTATATTTGGACTAATAAACACTTATGTGAAAACATTATTTTCAAAACAGCAAAGTCTCCTTAACCAAGTGCCACATCATGAAAATTATTCCTCTTTATCTAGTCTAAAAGTAATGACAATACAATTATAGTATTTACAAATTAAGTTAAATTTTTAAATATTTTACTAATTATAATTTTATTTTTAAACAAAATTTTACAGTTGGACTTTTTAAAAATTATTTGTAACCATGAACATTATGTTCCATTAAATTTAATAAACAATAATCTAAACAATCTTTCACCTATTTTCTCTGTGACATCTAATATTGGAAGTCAGCCACTATCAATGGCTAGTGGTTCAACATTAAATGCTATACAAGCTACAGTAAAAGAGTATACCGAATTATCATTAGGATTTCGTCGGCATCATTATTTGGTTGGTTTAGTCCTATCAGAATTTGTTACAGTATTGCAGTGCTCTAAAAGGTAAAATAATAAAAATTAATATATGTGTATTTTAAAAATATATTATTACAATTTAAGTTTTGACTAATTTGATTTGTTTTGTATGTTTTAAGCGATTTAAAAGTTAAAGAAAAAGTGGTCAACTTATTGTTAGGGCTTATGTCGACCCATGACACTAACTACCATCAAGATAAGTGGCCATCCAAACGTAAAGCATCTACACGAGTGGCTCTTATGTATTTACCTCTTTTAACAATAGTCACAACAGATTCGTCTTTTCTTAATTTACTACAATTAGATTTCGAAAATAACACTGATACAGTTAAAATTGTACTTAACAATACCGAAAATGAAAATTGTTTTGATGACAGTGTTGATAATTACAAATGTAAAATATTACATAATATTCATCATTGTAGCAAATAATAATTATTTTGTATTCTAATTTCAGCATCAGATACAAATTCTGAAGATAATGTAAATGCAATTTCTGCTTCCTCATTAATCGGTGTTAAAAACACCACTGCATCTTGTTACAGACAAAATAAAACTAATTGTCAGAAATCTAAGTTAAATTCGTTTATATCTACTAAAGTATTGGCTGCTATATTGTGGATTTTGAAAAATCTTGATAATGATGTAATGCACATATGGCTAGCAAACTCATCCCGTCAAAGAGCTCAAAATACACTGTCAATACTTACTTTGTGTATTAATCGGTTCTATAATAACAGTTATAATTATAAAAAGGTTTTGCGCTTAATTATACTTATATTTTATAAATACAAATATTTAACAATAAGTAATACATAGTTTATTAAATTTCAGGGAAATTATAAATGTGCAAATTGCAATTCTCAGCCTTCATTTGGTTCACCTACCAACTCCACTCAACCCCCTCACAGCGAAACCCATAGTTGTAATACTGATAGTATTAATAACCTGTCTACAACGGCTTCCTCTACATCACTGTCAAATTCATCAACATCTCAATTGACCACTACAGATGATGTTAAGTCAAGGCTTGAAGATGTGATTTTAGGTCAAGGATCAGCAAGATCAGAGTTGATGAGACGTAAAGGTAAAGAAAGTAAAGTACAATTAGTAAACAATATGATATATTTTAAAATATTACATTTTGTATATTAAATAATATTTTTTTTTTCAATAAATCAGCTGGTCTAGATACAGGCACTGGAAATACAAATACTACCAGTAAAGTGCGATGGAGAAAGGACCATGTGTTAACATATAATAGACCATCATCCTTGCAATCTTGTTATTGTAGCGTTGATGGCCAACATCAGTTCGATAAAATATTTGGTATTAACCAAGATCAATCTGATGGTGAATTGGATTTAGTTAATGAAATCGGTTTCATAATACTGGACACTATTGAGCAGATTATTCAGGTTTTTTTATTCATTTCTATAAAATATAATTTTAATTGAAAATTTATAATTTGGTTCATAAATGTTTTTTGATAGGTGGCTTCCTTGCCTTCAGGTTTAAACAATTCTAGACCCAATCATTGGTCAATACATCGTGTTTTTGAACTTCTTCTTAGAGCCATGTCTACTATTATAACCAACTCTAGTACTGCTACTACTACTACTACTACTACTTCCAACAATCAGCAACATTTCAATTCTGCATTAACAACAGCTGCATTGCAATGTATGTTTGGTACTCAAAGATCTATGGTCACCAAGTTTCCAGAACTTTTATTTGGTGATGATCGAGATGAAATAGATTTAGATGTGGATACTGATCATGATAATAAAGGAATCGAAAACTACCACTTTTCTACTAGTAGTCCATCATCTAATCGGTGTGCTAACCTTATATTAATGTTATTGCGTCATTGTGCTATAAACTCTAGCACAATTGGAGTTAGAGCACAAGCAGCTGCTTCCTTGTATTCCTTGATGCGTCAAAATTTTGATGTAGAAAATGTATGTATATGTTACTGTGAATGTTACTGTGAATGTCCCTAGTTGGTGAATGCTGATAGCCATTGGTACATCAAAGTCAATGTTACATGCTGGCAATTTTATTAAATTTATGCTGTTTGTAAACATATACTAGTGAATATAACAATATTAGGTAGACATACTACTTAATATTGAGTATTGTAAAAGTTGATTATTTTAATAAAATGTTATATTACCTTAACTACTTTTATTATATTCAGATACCAGGCATGCTATGCTGCTTCGCCTCATCTATGTTTACATTCACTAGGTGATTGTTAGCATTCACCAATTGTGGACATTCATAGTAATATATATATTCAAAAAGTATATTATCTATTCATTAACCTTTATTTGTACATGTTGTAAAAAAAAAAAAATATAATAAAATTAAGTTTTTCTATTTAAAAATTTCAAGTTGAAAAATAATGTAATGTAAATACATTTATTATTTATTTATTTATTTAAATAATAACTAATTTCCTAACTCATATTTTTTCGCATCTGTATTCTGAAACACTTATTTTTTTCTATAATTAATTATTAACCCATTCAAAAATACAATTGTTCTTACAATAATATATTAGTTTTGTTATGTTTTTTTTAAAGAATTTTGCTCGAGTAAAGATGCAAATTACTGTGGCATTAAGTACATTGATAGGAGGGACTGGAACATCAACTACTACATTTGAAGGCAGGAAAGAAGTTATGTGTTTCAATGAAGAATATTTGAGACGTGTATTGAAGACTATACTTTTGTATGCTGAACGTGATTCTGCAGAAGTGCAAAATACTACATTCCCCGATCAGGTGAAATAAAATAAATCAACTAAATAAATACATATACTTGTTTGTTCTAACAGTAAGTATTTCAAAGTTAAATTTCCTTAAAATGATTTGTTTATATTTATTAACTATAATTTTTTATACTAGCTATTGTTAATGTTGTTTAAATTTATATAATTGTAGGTAAAAGATCTAGTGTTAAATTTACACACAATTCTATCAGACACTGTCCAAATGAAAGAATATAGTCAGGATCCGGATATGTTAATGGATTTGATGTATCGTGTTGCTAAGGGTTATCAACAGACATCCTCTCCAGACCTACGTCTTGCATGGTTAGAAAACATGGCTCGAAAACATAGTCAGGTAATATAAATTGATATTAATAAATACTTATATTAGTTATAAGTTACTGTTAACTAAATGAGGTGTGATCAAAAAGTAACCAAACTGTTTGAATTTGATGTGTAGGATTAATAGCACTAACTTTCATGGCTTCTGAATCCATCTATTTTTATAAATTCTCTATAACCTTAGTTTTGATGTAACTGATGATTTTATAAAATACATTTTTCAAGTGTTGGCAATTTTGTAATGAATCCAAAAGAGTCACTTAAAATTTTTGAAGAGGATTTTTCTTTCATAATGATACTGGTAATAATTTTAAAACCAAAAAGTTTCTGGCCAACCTGAATTTTCTGTAAACCTAGATTTCCTTGATATTTCCTCAACATTCTTGGGACATAACTTTTGCTGCCACTTGGTGCATTTGCAGTTTTACATTTACAATTTTTCAACATGAATCATGTGAAATGTTGCATTTTCTGCCAACCAAGATGAGATCATCACAACAAGAAAAATTCTCTCCACCCCTTCCTTCTCCATAAGGGATCTTTTAAATTCATTATAAAATAGTTGATAAACAAAAAATATATTTTATAAAACTGGTTATATCAAAACTAAGAAGGTTATAGAGAATCTACAAAAATCAATATGCTCAGGGGGAGCCATAGAAGCCAATAAGATGAATCCTACTAGTCTTTGACACTGTGTTGGAGTGCAGTTTAAACAGTCCAAGTACTTTTAATCATATCTCATAGACCAGAATTATATATGCACTAAACAAAAGCTAACATGTAGAGCAGAGGTTCCCAAAGTAGTCTATATCGACCCCCTGGGGTCGATTCTGACCTGCAAGGGGTCCATGTCAACGAAAAAGAATATTGGGGGTGCATCAAATAGGGGTCCAAAATAATATAAAATAATTTATAAGTCAAAAATGTGTGTGTCGTAATTTTTACAAAAAATGTGTGTGACAATGCAAAAGATAATGATTATTATAACGAACATTGTTGATAACGACAGATAAGATTAAATGTACACATTACACATTCAACCTATATTTTTAGGTCTCACTAATAACTAATAAGTATCATAAGAATGATAAACATGATATCGGCCTATGGTCAGAATATATTATTACTGTACGTTTAGTAATTTAGTTCATCCATGCAAAAGTTTTAAGCAAGGACACTATGAAACCATTCAAGCTAGAAGATCATCTGGAAAGGTGTCACCCTGAAAAAACACCCTGAAGATTTAATATACTTTTAAACACTGAAAGAAAAATTTCAGAAGAGACCTCCCACGATGGATAGTATGTTTGCTACCAAAAAATATGATGATAGCTTGCAGGCATCTTACAATATCTCACTGCTCATGACAAAATCCGGTAAGCCCCATACTATCAGGAACAACTAATTTTGGCAGCCATTGGAGAGGTCTTAAAAACTGTTTTACACAGATCTGCATATGATTACTCAAAAAAATTCCTTTAAGCAACAATACAGTTCAAAGACATATTAATGAAATGAGTCATGATGTTGAAAGTTACTTGTGTAATTATTTGCAAACAACCTAATTTTCCATACAACTAGATGAGTCAACTTTGCCTGGTAATGAAGCACTATTACTGGCATAAGTTTCTTTTGTTCTGGACCAAAAAATCCATGAAGAACTGCTCTGCAAGAACTTTGACTACAGAAACAAAAGGCAAATCCATATTTAATGTTTTGAAAGATTATTTCCTGGAAAAAGCGATCCCTTTAACAAATATATCAGCAGCAACAGATGGAGCACCTGCCATGGTTGGGCGCTATCATGGTTTTCTAAATCATTTAAAACAGTATATACCCGGGCTGTTTGCAATTCATTGTGTCATCCAGTAACAATATTTAGTTGCTAAAAATCTAAGTGCCAGATTACATTAATCTCTTCAGCTAATCATAAACACAGTAAAGAAAATTTGTAATTGAATTCTAGATTGTTTGCAGTTATGTAAAGAAAATGACGAATATTTTCAATAATTACTCTTCCACATTAAAGTATGATGACTATCGAAAGAATTTTGTTTGACAAGATATTTTTACTTTTTGAGATTATTTTAGAGTTTTTGGGTAATAAAGATCCTATATAAAAAAAAAATTGATCCAAAGAAATCAACACATTGCTTATTTAACAGATTTATTTGCTAAATTTAATGAGGTTAACTTGCAGTTAAAAGGTGATAATCTGAATTTAATAAAAACAAAATCAATTATTGCAGCTTTTCTGGTCAGGATTAATTTAATGAAGCAAGCACATGAATTTTCTCAGTTTCCCAAATTGTCACATATGAACTGTGATGATGACGTTTTGGCCTATGTTCCATGTGAGCTATAAAAAAACACCTAGATGAATTTGTAAAAATTTAATTTTAGGGGTTACGAAATTGGAAAAAATTGTCATGTAGTTTACGGAAAAAAAAGTTTGGGAACCTCTATCAAAAGAAAAATTACAATATATTTACTAATATGCACACATTTTAAAAATTTTATCAAATTATAAAATAAAAATATTAACCAGTTTTGAATAATGTGCTTTTAAATATTATTTGTTTAAATCTATGCAACACAGTGATTATTTTAAAGCAGGTATTATTCATGAAATAATATAGTAAAAACAAAATTAATGTCAAATTTTTTATGAATTAAAATAAATAAACTTAAACTAAATTATGAGTTAAAGAACTATTCAATATTAAAAATTAACTTTGTTTCAAATTATAGTATATTATAATACAAAAAAAAAAAAAACATTCAAATTTGTTTGTGACCATCTGTTCGCTACAGAGATTTTTGATTCTGAGTGTAGCAAAAAATGTATTGATTTTACAATGATGTTTATTTTGTTTTATTTTTTTTATACTGTGACAAAAATGTGTTCCTGGTGTTCAATGCACTCTTGATTATGTGTGAATAAGAAGCATTACTTTGGCTTCATTAGAACAGTATATAGACAGGTATTCACTTGAATTATAAGATGTACCTACTTACATCTAAACCTATATATATATTGAAACCATAGATGCCCACGTGTATATTTATATTTGTATCTCACAGCGAAGTATTAATATTATTATTTTTGATTGTCATTAATTTATTTAGTGATAATTTTAAATTAGTTGTTAATAAATATCACTATTACAATATTTAACTACTGTTTTATTATACACAGTACAACTGATCTTTAATATCTTAAATTGTAATCAACATTCAACACAATATTAATTCTCATTTTTATAATATTATTAAAAGTATAAAACATGCAAATTATATGCATTAATATTCATTATGCAGAATAAAATTTGATTTATAAAATCAGCTTGATTTGAACCGCTCACATTTTAAACTGTTATGGTCTTGCATACTCAAGTATGAACATGCATATGATTCTGGTCTTTGCTTATAACACTTCCTATAAATAAAAAAAAAGAAAATGTATCTATGTATGTATACTAGTATATAATTTTATTTCTTTAATGGATTATGATATAATATATATTATTTTTTAGAGAAATAATTTTACTGAAGCAGCAATGTGTTTGGTTCATGGAGCTGCCTTAGTTGTTGAGTATCTCACTACAACTGAAAATCTGGATTTAGTTGGTGGTAGAGGGGCAACTTGTTTAGAGTGTGTGTCACCCAATGTCTTGGAAGAATGTGCAGTGTCAGATGATGTTATGGTAGTTAGTCAAGCAACGGATCAAATTTGTTTGGGTGATGAATTCACCAAAACTGGACTCGTCTCCTTATTGGATAGAGCAGCAGAATTATTCCAGAAGGTTAAATATAAACTAATTTGGGTTTTCCTATTTCATATTAGCATTAAAATGTTAATTTTATTAATATTTACAGGCTGGTATGTTTGAAGTTATGAGCCAAGTCTACAACAAATTAGCAATACCTCTCATAGAAAAAACTAACAATTATAAGAAGTTATCGGATACGTATTTGTATGTATATTTTAACTGTGTTGGCAGTTACAAATACCTAATAATATAGTGATATTATATTATATAATATATTTTGATATCTTAAATAAAAACAAAAGTAAGGTTTTGACTATTATAAAACATTGTCAATGGTGGGATATCAAAAAAAAAAAAATACTTTTATTAAAACAATAGTAGGGAATATTTTTCCTGTGTTCTGCACTCTTAAAAAACTTTTATAGATTGCATTTAAAATTAAAAATGGAGTACTGAAATGTAGAAAAAAGCAATATTTTAAAAATATAATAACATGGTAATAAAAATTGGCGGTAGAGTGTCATTTACCATGTATTAACATGTATTAACCAATTTATGAAAAACAATAAATCTGAAAGGAATGAATTTGTTGTAGTCATAGTCATAGTATATATTCCAAATATTCTCTATATTCCAAATGAATGACTGTTATAAAGGGGTGCACACTTTCACTTTAACAGTTTTGCCAACAAGTAAATTTGACTATTATGCAGCAGAAAACCTGCTGAGATTCCACAAACTACACCCCTGCACAGCCCAGAAATGATTGTTTAATTTGCAGTTACAAAGAAATTCATTACAAATTCATAGTTTCACTTGCTCTTCCTGATAGAAACAAGAGAAACTGAAAATGGCACTTATTTCACTACCAAAATAAAATATATAAACAAAATATTGCACATCTATTTGTTTTTTGTCCCTATTTCCATGACCCACATATACATGTAGATAATGTAGATTATTAAATTATAAAATCAATGAAACACTTAAGTTATAGATAGGATTATTAGATATTATAACTGACACTGTGGCATGGTAAGGTTATTTAATGTTTATAATATGTTATGCTATTATAATTTATCTATTATGATATTTTTAAGAATTGTATAATGATTTTATGTAGAAAATTACATGATGCATATGGAAAATTGGAACGTTTACAAGGCCGCCGAGTATTCGGAACATATTTCCGAGTGGGATTCTATGGTGCCAAGTTTTTTGGACCAGATGGATTAGATGGAGAAGAATTTATATACAAGGAACCGACTCTTACAAAACTATCAGAAATATTTGGACGTTTGCAGGTAACTAGTATACTAGTATATAATATACTACTGATGGAAAAAATCGAGTTTTGTCAAAATTCTGAATCCGAAATCCAGATTTTAGATTTAGAAACATTGAACTAGTATTATTTTATGTATTACTTATAATGAAGTTTTCATAACTACATTTAGATAAAAAAATTGATTTTTTAAGTTGGAATACATAATTAAATGTTAAACCAAAATTTACATTTGGAAATCCGAAATCTTAATTTTTAGATTTTTGGATAATCCAATTTGTATATCACTAATATATACTTTACTAGTACTACCTACTTAATACAAGTGTAAACAGCTAATTTAGACTTCTCTTGTTATTTTGATTATTTTTATTTTTTTTTATAAAATTTAGAATTTTTATTCTGGAAGATTTGGCGAAGATTGTGTTACCATTATCAAAGATTCCAATTTGGTAGATGTAAACACGCTGGATCCAAGGAAAGCATATATACAAATTACGTATGTAGAACCATATTTTGACGCATATGAACGGCGCAGACGTACTACACATTTTCAAAAAAATTTCAACCTGAGTAATTATTTACTGAATCCTTGAATATAATGTTTACCAAAATTAATATTTTAAAAATCTCCCATGTTTTAGAACGCTTTGTGTTTTTTACACCATTTACACCTGATGGCAGAGCTCATGGACAATTAAATCAGCAGTACAAACGCAAGACCATTTTAACAGTTTCGCATCATTTTCCATATTTAAAAACACGGATACGTGTCCAGAGTCGTCGAACTGTTGTAATGGGACCCATAGAGGTGGCTTTGGAAGATTTGCGAAAAAAGACTGACGAACTAGCTCATAGTGTGCGCCAGCATCCTGCTGATCCGAAAATGTTACAAATGGTCCTTCAAGGGTGCATAGGTACCTACTATCCAATAATAATAATATTATTAAAGCAACTATGTGTTATGTGTTTACTAAATAAAAGTCATCACTACACTATACTCAAACATCACATTAGCTAACATATGAAAATTGATTATAAAATAGCAGAACTGCTAATAACTTTTTATTAGAAAAATCCAAATGTAATCACTTTTAGATTCAAAGTAAAATGAGTAATGTATTGGTTTTGGCAATGATGTTCATTATTATTTTTTTTTATACTGTATACATTCTACCAGAAATTTTGCTACCAGTTTTAAGTATAGCACATTTTCTGAAATTAAATTTATTTAGGATGGTACTTTAAGGAGTTTAAGGAGGTCATTTTTTGATTTTTCAAAAGAATTGGGAAAACCGGGAAAATTTAAAAAATAATGATGTTATTATTTTCAATTTTGTTAGCAATGATTAATTATTACATAAATAAATACATAAATTTCCCTTCTATATCCCATCTTCTCATCTATAACAATGGCCCACTTATCTTTTAAGTAAGTCCAATTTTTTACTTTTTATTTTCTATAGCTTATTAATTATTCTAGGGATCTCTTTTTAGCCATTATTGTAGAATAAATTAATTATGTTATCAGAAATATCTTCATACAAATTTAGAAATCATTATAATAATTATTAAGTTTATTGTATTTTCTTGTTACTTGGACAAACCAGGTTAATATTATTTTACACAATTTTGGGAAAATATTTCTTTGGAATATTAAATGAAAACACTGAAATTAGATTAGTAAAAAAGTTTTCATTTTTAATTAAGATTTATTATAATATATTTTTTTTAATTTTACAAAGTTGGAAAACATTTCAAAACCAGCATAAATTCTCTTAAAAAAAAAAATGTTGGTCACTTTTACACTATTTAAAAATAATGATTACTAGCAGTCTTGATATAAACTATAGTATAATGAATGATTGATGCTTGCATATTTTTTTCTTTTTATAATCTTGTTAATGTTCCTTATGTGAATTTTAATAATCATCTAGAATTTTAGTATCAATAAGTTATATTTTTCATAACATGTCTTGACTTGAATTTTAAAATGCAATGAAGTTCTTTTCTCAAACAAAGTCGTCCAACTGTTATACATTATCACTGAAGTGTTATTAGATGACGAACAGGAAAAAATGTTATTTGATATTATTTTCTAAGTTTTACTTTGTTTATTTGACACATGTTACCATACAAAATTCAGTGCTCTAGCCTCTAGATTTATGAAAGTTTTTTTTTTTTTTAAATTGTTCTTAGTATTATAATTTATTGATATTTGTTCTAACAGGTACTACTGTGAATCGGGGACCTATGGAAATGGCTACTGTATTTTTATCTCCACCGCTATATGATAGTAATCGTAGAAGTTCAGATGCCCCAGAAGAGTCTTCTGCTGTACAACCGCCACCACCTCGATTACAAAATAAACTAAGACTATGTTTCAAAGATTTTTCAAAAAAGTAATTACCTTAATATAGTTCTCTCCCATGTTATAATTAAAACAGTAAATTAATAAATAATTGTATAGGTGTGCTGATGCTTTAGCGAAAAACAAAACTCTTATTGGTCCTGATCAGCTGGATTATCAGCGTGAATTAGAACGCAATTACCGCCGATTTACTGATCAGTTGGCCCCATTGCTCAAAGCCTCCACTTCCTCTCCTCAGGGTGATAGTTCCTATGGCAATAATTCAACAAGTAAACGTGCACCCTACAACCACAATCAAAACGGTGGGTGTAATACCATGATGCCTGCCATAAATTATATTAATGATAATCAAGATGAGGAAGATGATACAACCATTACAAATAATATGAATGCTGAGGTTAATACAATGAACAATGACACAAGCTTTACTATTTGAGTGCTTCATACTTAAAATTGTATAGATAATAATTATGCATTGCATGTATTAGCATTTGATGTAGGTTATTAAATTCAAATTATATATACATAGAAAATTTCTTAATAACATTTATTCTTGTGCCTAAAATAATTGTATTAAATATTTTATTTTTACCTTTATAGGTTTACAATTATAACTTAATTAATAATTATAACATATTTAATAAAAACCAAATTCAATATATTTTTTTTTAATCTATTTTTTAATGTATTTTATAACAATATTGTAAGCTATAATAGATTATATGTTTTATACACAATACCTATTATATTTAATAATATAAACTGTATAAATAGTTTTAATTTTAAATGATTTATATTTTATTAACATCTTAGTTTTAAGTGATATTTTATATTCTTCAAATGTAATACAATTTTAATATCAGAACTATAGGATTTATGTAGGCAAAATTCTGTTAACTAAAGTTGATATCAAAATTTAAAATTAGATAAATAAATGAAATTGAAATTATATAATATAATATACAACATATAATTTTTAGCAATCAGTTATTAAAAAACCATTGTAATAAATCAATGATTTTTATAAAAAATATATTTTTCTTCCGTAATACCCATTTTTACTTGTCATATTTTGTTTAACTTTTAATTAAATAAAATAAATACAAATACATAATTAATATAATGTGAATTAAATAGTGGATATATAATTTAAGAATTAAGTGTATTTTAGTAATTGCTAAAATAAATACTCACCTTAATATTTTTTTGAAGTAAGTTTTTAATGAAAGAAGAGTATTAATTACTTGTTTTGTAAAGTTGTTTTTGGTAGGCATATATTATGATGGATTTATGAGTAACATCACTGCTTTAAAGGAAAATATCCTCCAAGTAATAACAATGAACATGAGATGTATTTGATCTACTTAAAATGTCTCAAAAAGATTGACACATTTAAAATTGATAATTTTTATTTACAATTATTAGAAATAATTACCTAAATTTAGTTTTGAAAGTATTGCATTCTTAGGTATATCTATAGTTGTGTTTACTACATTAAATTTATTTACAGGAATTGCACTTTCATGTAGTGCAGCAGGATGAAACCCATTTCTAGTTTGCAGAAAGTCAAATTTGTATTTATTTATTTATTTTCAATTCATTAATCATTGTCAAATATTTTTTCCTACATGTGTGATCTACGAGGTCTGTTCAAAAAATTCCGGGATTATTTGAATTGTGCGCCAATGAAGTGTCCAAGAACTATAAGATTGATATTACTAGATTCTGTGACTTCTCTTTAGTACATATGTGTTTGAAGATGTTTTCTTAAAATATTTTTTGCATTTGGCGATTTTGTATTAAATCTAAAAGAAGAGCTTTTTTGGGGGAGGGGGAGTTGGATAGAGATGATTTTTCTTTCATTTTGATGGTAATATAACAGGCAATGTCTATTATTATGATAAATATTAAAAAATTATCATTTACCATAGGTACTAAAAAATTCCTGATTAACCTGAACTTGGGAACTTTATCTATATTCTCCAGAAAAACTTTCATTCATCATATCTGCAGTTTTTCGGTTAAAATTTCTTGACAAAAGTCATGTGAAACGTATTTATAGTATTAATAATTGTTTTGAGTAACATATCCATGATTTAGGATCTTGACTATGTAATAATATGTACGTTTAATTCATATTTTAATTTAGTTATAAATTCCCTCAATTTGAACATGTTTTTGTCTAAAAATATTATTGGTATTTTGTTTATTTATAATTAAATAATTAATGACATTATTCATTACAGTAATGATCATTATAGACACAATATTAAATATTTAACAAGCTGTGAATTTTAATTTTAATAATTAATTTTCTCATTGTCAATTTAAAAATAATGTTTCAAATTAACTAGAATAATTAATTTGTCTTTATCTGCTTATCTTACTTTGAGAGGCTATTTTTAAAACATGCTACTGAACTGATTACTCTACTTACTAAATATTGGCCTATTGTATTATGCATTTAGATTAAAATATTAATTCGTTAAGTATATTATTTGCTATATTACGGTAGCTGGGCTTAAATTGGCTTTCACTAGGCCTAACCGGACTTGGATGGGCGTTTGCTAGGCCGAGTTTGATATTTTATTAAAATGAACAGGACCGGATAGGCTTATTTTTAAAATTCTATACTTAGGAGGGCTTGGGTTTCATAAATTAGAATACCGATGGGCTCTAATGGGTCAAGCTTTTCATACCGGGATATTTGTCAGGTTCTGGGTTGAGCTAAAAAATATCGGCATTTACGTCATTACTGTCAATACTGTTAATGTTAATAGTGTTAATTACTATCACGGTTATAGATAAAATAGTTGCACAACGCCAAAAAGCGGCCCCAGATTCTTATTAAAAATATGGCGCCATCTAGTTAAAATTCCACAATTTTGGACAGTATCACTACTATTACCCAAGTCCCAAAGTGGAATAATCCACCTTAATTATACCCATAGTATATTATTATTATGATTGCGACAATAATCTGTTATTTCATTAATGATTCCACCGGGAGCTCTAGTGCTCTGCTTATAATCAGGGAGAAAATGTTAAATTTCATAAAAACCTTTTCGGCAGTAGACCACCTTATTATAGGATATGCTATTGTGCAACCATTATATCTATAAAGCCGAGTTTTCGTTACCCCGTACACTGATTGTATCCCGTACATAAATCTACGTATTCTGATTGGCTGAACAGTTTGGTTGATACCGTGTACTACCTGGTTCAGCCAATAAAAATCCATAGATTAATGCACGGTGTTATGGAAACTCGGTTTAATCGTGATTACTATACAATGTGTTTGATAATATACCTAGGTATACTGTTACCATGTGCACATATAGGGGCATGATAACTGAAGTGATAATAAAATGTTTTTAATATTGTGGTATTGTGATAAGATGTAAATCATAATTATAGACTTAACAAAATATTTAGACGGAACATTCGGCATGAAAACACGTTCTGGAGTGGTGGAGTTTCATTTTAAGGACAGAAACACGTGAGATAATAATCGGAGTGTTTTAATTGGCTGTCCTTGGAGTGCATATATGCTCTCTCTCACACTAGGCTTTATATCAGTTTGTCCTCCTTTGATCCGTTAGAACCGATTTAGCTTCCTTGTCTTCGAAGTGAATGTTCCGTCAAGATTTATAAGTTTTTGATCAATATAATATAATATAATCAATATAATTGTACATATATGATATTGTGTACGTAAAAATTAACGTATTATATTACGTAGCAATATTATAAAAAACTAAGCGATTTAATTTGATTGAAATTGCTGTAAATTGTAATATTACAACTAGTAACTAGTCATGACCGTCAATGTGAAAATTATTATGGACCATCTGCCAAAATTGATACAAGCTCTATGCTTCGATTCACAAATAGCAAAATGATTAAAATGTAGCAGAACAAAAACTACGGCAATAGTTACAAATGTTGTTTGGACTATAGGCAGCACAAATATAATTCAAAATCTTAGAAAAAAAAAAAAAAAAAATTTCAATTATTTCAGACGAAAGTACTGACAATCAACACTGAATCACTTAACAGTGGTCGTACGCATTGTGAAATTGTGGAACTCGCGTCATATGCTATCTACACGAACGTGGATCGCGTTGTACGTTATCTGCGTCTCGGACGACAAATGTGGGTCGGACATTGACGGTGTGCGTCGTAGGTACGGTTATGTACATGGTACCGACCAAATCCGATTTCTGGATTAACTAGTTTATCCTTTACACCAGATGTGTTTAGCCTATAAAACACCGATGTTCATATATATGTATGCAAATTGTATGGTCGAACCAGCAACCGATACAGAACATTAAATCTACGGGCGTCCAGGAATTGGGCCGTAATGAACTTTTTTTTAAAAAGGTATACGGCAATTGGGCCACTAAAATTTTGCATTTATAGCAGATAGACCCGGTGATTGGGCCACTATTTCAAACCATATTATTATGTTTTTCCACGAATACAAATTTAAATTTCTTATGTTCGTTGTAATCGATTTATGTTGACGGCAATTTTGAATACTTAACAAAGCAATCTGTATCAGATTATTTAAAAAAAAAAAAATTAATAATTATTTGACTAATTTTATATTATATTTTAATATATTTAAAATTATATATTTGTGTGTTATACATTTGTTGCCCAATCTCCGGGTACCCTTAAAAAAAAAAATAAACCTTCTAATTGTGGTCAAATACCCGGGTAATAAAATGTACAAAAATATTATTTACGAAGTAGGTAGACAAAATGTGACCCAATTCCCGAATCTATTTCATTCGGGGTGTTTTTTTTTTTCAATAATAATTAGAATTAAAAGTCGTTTTCAGACGTCAAAAAAAAAAAAAAAAACGCGGAAAATGGTGTAGATTGCGATTGCGGTAGATAGTATACGACGCGAGTTCCAAAATTGTGGATACAAATTTAACAGTAAGAGATAAATTTGTTAAACTTTTATATTCTGAGTGGGACGAAAAAGCTTATAGTTTTACAATGTTTACTTTTTTAATTTTAATTTATTTTTGCTGTAGACAAATTTCCTAACAGAAATCTTGTTCCGATTTTTAAGTGTAATACCTTTTCTGAAAGGAAATCGGACTGGGGAGATCATCTTTTGATTTTCTCAGTTTTCCCAATAAATGGAAAAAAAAAGGGGGAAACGTAGGAAAATCGGAAAAATAGGTACAATATTAAAGAAATATTATTAAAGAAAATATAGGTATTACGCTTATATATTTATTTTACCATAATATGTCATATAAATTGTTGACAAAGCAACGCTATCGAATAAACTCCGCTTAGAATTGTATTTTCGTTAGCAATGGCTTATCGTTGCTTACAGATATGCATTACTATTCCTCTCTCTACCTTTCCAACTTATTTTTTGTTTCATCGACAGCAGTGAGGGATCTATTG